TACAATTAATGTACAAAATGACTAAAGTTTTCTCACAGGTTCATGAAGATCTTTGCAACTTTAAGTCGATTTTCCTTAATATGCCAATTTTCCTTTCCTTGTTTCAAAGACTCCCACTGTTTTAAAGTCCTCAGACCACGGAAAGTCCTGCCCATGCCCGGGCTCCTCCGTGGTGTCTCCCCGTCTCTGTGATGTAGATGATTTGGTTCTTTGAGCTTCACTTGCATTTGCCTTTTCCATTCAGCATTGCTGGTCTTGTGCTATTCTTGAATTATTCCCAATGTCTTTTTTTTCCCACAAGTAAATCGAAAGTTCCTAAGGGGCATCACAGAATCTACTGCTCTCTAGTCCTTATATGCATTGTCCAAATGCATCTAGACTCTTCAGGAATGTTCCTACGGTAACAGAAATCAAGCCCAATAAATAGAAGTTCGCCATCTCAAGTTTCTCAGCCCTAAATGTGTCACAACTAAAAAATTATTTTATTTATTATGAGAATATAAACTTAGCTCTTCATAAATATTTACTATTAATAGATTTAGAGACCCATATTTATTTATGAACCGAGGTCTTATTCATTATTCAGTTAATGAGATGTATTTTATAAATAGTGGCGCTTTAAAAAAAATCATTTTCCAATTACTAATCAGGTCAGAAATGCTTAGAACGTTCAACACAGTTCTTTTGAAATGTTCTCTTTGTGATTATACCAAGATGTTATAAATCTATACTTCTTGACAGAATTTGAAATTAAGATGGCATTCCCATGACCAATTAAGTCTATTGTGCAATACTGGTTGGCAAGGGTTGTTTTTTTTTTTATTTTCCTCTTCCCCCCACCTTGTTTTAAAAATATTTAAAATAAAAAGGGATAAACCATTTCTAGAGTTTGTTGAGACCTTAAAATACATAGCCCCTGAAGCAAGATTCATCAAGAGAAGCATCTAAGGCCCAACCGAGTTTTCAAAATAGTGCCCACATATACCATACTTGTTGAACAAATTCAGATTTATTGAAAGTAAACATTTACATTGGCTACAATGTTAGGACTATTACAAAGCTGGATAAAAGAGGCTTAAGTAGCAATAGAAAGCAAGTGCAATAAAAAGTGAATAGAGAAAATATTTGGCCTTAGTGATCTCTCGGCAGTATTTACATTATGTACATATTATTAAATATTTATAATAACTCTAAGGCACCAAAGGCTAAATAGCAGGTTGCAATACTATTCTCCGCACAAAAATCAAGAAATTTATTGTAAAGAAGGCTGTATAGTTAAACATAGGCATACCTTAATGTTTACATAAAGGAGTGGCTGCATTTTTTTAAAAATCTCAAATGATACATTAAACATTGGGCAGATCGAAGAAATTATTTTTAGAACATTAAATTATATTGACTATGTAAATAAGCACTATTGGTTACTGCCTTGCTGGTAAATGTGTAATGTCGTCTATTCTTCAGCACAGCTTTCTCACGCTCATGGATATGTTTTGTCTAAAAACTACTTGAAGTTCTTTTGACCTACAAAAACTTATCCTAATATTTCATAGAGTATACAAAATCCCCAAGAAAAAAGTTACTGGGTAATAATATACATCAAATTTATATATAATCTGACAAAAATTTAGCAGGCATTAAATGCCAAAATACTTAAATATTCAGTCTGCCATCCTGGCATAGCAGTTAGGTATTTTAATCTTTTAACTCTTTAGAGTGGGCAGTTGTTTGTCGCTTTCGGTGAAGGGACATAAAATTGACCCATGTAGAAAACCAATCTCAAGATAAACTAATTAGCTTCAAATTTTGTAACTTGAAATCCTTTCAAATTACACATTGGGTGTTAACTATGTCATTCATCGCCAGTGACTGCAATGCATTACTGCATTGTCCAAAAGTAAATGACAATATCTACATCCAGCATGGTCTTAATTGTTAAATTATTTGATTACTTCTGCTTGGAAAATGTTAGTTGTTCCTTACACTAGAAACCCAATTTACCTTAACAAACAATTTATCATTTGTCTTGAGGTAGTATTATAATATAGAATTCAGCAGGACAACAGAACAACATAATGCTTTTAGAATGTGCTTCAAATGCCACCATGAAATCCACATTTATTTAGATGGTATATGGTCCAATGTTGAGTGGCTCTTTACGGCATATTAAATTACTATCTGAGGAAGTCATCCAGACTCGTTAACTTTCTGGAACCCCATGCCCCAAGGCAAGTTATAGTTTTTACAATATTTTTATTACATAAAGTACTGCTATCATTCCTTCAGTTATTTAAAGATTCATAGACTGTATGCTATGAGTTTTCTTTCTTTTAGAGGAGCGGAGAAAAATTGAGAAATTCTCTAAACAAATTTTTCAGAGCATTAACAATAGTTTGTGAGAGTTTCTAATCTATATAGTATTTGACAGTAACTTCAAAAATGTGACAATCTTAAAATTGAATTTTAAATTGAAAAACCACCTTCGAATCCAACATTTGACTGGGATTTGCTGAGCAACAAATATAAAATTCATTCCAACGCAGAGCACGTAAACTCATTCTATAATGCTAGATTATTTGTATATTATTACTCCCCCCCATCAAATGTTCAATCATTTTCTTCTCTTTTTTTATACAGTTCAAGAGGACAAATTATTCATGGTGAAATGTTTACAAAATCAGTAATGCAGGAAAAAGCAGAGCTAATAAATTAAGGTATAGTTTTTCCCACTTCAAGAATGAAAATAAATAACTGTCTTTCCTCTGGCTGAACATCTAGTAGTAACAACTACACAATTAATAAAACGATTACAAAAGTACCAGTGAACAGATTTCAAATGATTTTTAAAACAATACAATATGAGATATTTAGAATCATCAAAAATTCAAAAGATAACACTTTACTGGCTGACTGAATCAAAGCATGGTTAACTCAATTTTAAAGACCTGCTTAAGAGTTTTGGAATCTTGATATTCATTTACTAACAGTATTCAATGAAATTGTCTATGTTTTAGAAATATAGACAAGCATCTTCATCAGTATATCATAGCATTCCTTATTTCAGAAAGTTCAATTAAGTGATGGACTCTTCTTAGGATATTTGCTTACAAAGGTTCCAATAAAATTTTTGGAAACAAAAGCTGTCATTCTGCCTTGTAATACAAGTCAATTGACAGTCATTAGAAGACATCTGGTTTTAAAAGATGCCTATTGCTCTGTTATATTTAGTAGGTACTGAACTATCAACCACTCTTCTTCCTTAGATGGGTGAATCTGCTTTTATTCTTGACAGTAAAAGTTATAATTATGCCAGTTTCCCCTCACCTAACCAGCCTCCTTAGAGTCTTACAAGTAATCCTTCTAGTTCAGATTCTAAACATTATTCTTTAGACATCATCAGTCAACTGCTAAGCTGTAATGGCTTAGGTCAGTGACTTTAAAATTATGCTTGGGGCACTCTGCAAGTGGGGTTCCAAAATCTCTACTCCCAAATCCTGGTATTAGATCTTCATATTTATGTCATGTGTAGGATGAATGACAAAATTAATTTGAAAAAATACTTTGTTGCTTAAAAATGTTTTAAAAACACAGTTAATGGAATTTGGGATACTTGGGGTGTCTTGGCAAAAAGAAGCAAGCAGTTCTCTTGTTCCACACTAAGTCACAAAACACTAAAAAGGATATACCTTGGCCCTACCATGCTTCAATATCATATCCCTCATTCTAGCTCACAAGTCAAAACAGATCAACATTTGAAACAGACACTCTCAAAATGATATGTCTCTACCACTTCAAGCCTATTTTTGCACAAATAAGCAGGAAATCAATTATTTACAAACTACTGAAACAAATGATTAGTAAATACTTCCTCAACTGCAACCCTTAACAATGTGTATGACCTTGTTCTCACCTTCTTTGCCAGACAAAGGAAATAAACACTGAAGTATCACATTATACTTGCAAATCACTATACATTTTTATCTTTTCTTTCTCCATAAATTAAAATCAGATACAAGCTTTGATTTGGAGTTTGAATAGGGTGGCAGGCTCACTAATTAAACTGCTTTCATGAATGGCCTTATTTCAGAGACATCATGTGGAAAACCAAACACTGTCAATTAAAACGTAACATGAATAAGAATCTAGGACTCAAAGAAGGAGAAATGATTCTGATGAGCATGTGACTCGTGCAAAGGAAATGCCGAGAGCTGGTGGTATTGTTCTCTAGAAACTTATTTGTATTCTTTTAATATAAAAGAAGCTTCGAAGTTTATGTTCTTTCTCAATATGAAAAAAATAAGCAGAGGTACTAGATGAACAAATATAAAAATGCTGGTGTGGTAGAAATAAATTTCTTAAATGGTCCATTGCAATAAATAAATACTGTTTCTTTCAGTTATGAGGCCTTTCCTTTAAACATATGGTCGTTTGAACACAGGGACATGTGCACTCCCCAAATTGTGACTTATAGCATTTTAGAAGAGCTGAATTTCTTTAGACAAACAGAAAAATTGTCTGCAAATATTATCCATGATCGAATCGTGATAAATTTGGGTCATACCTTGGTTTAAATTCAAATTCACTGCTTGCTGCTTACTGTCTCCTTTTCACTAAGGACAGAATTGTTAAGCTAATCCATCTCTGACCAGATACACACATGGGAATATACAATAGTATATTCACAAGCAGACATTCCGACGCATCAATCTACAGATAGGTATATTACATACTTTAGGGCAAAGCACTGCTTCTAAGACCTAATTATTTACGTATAAAGGAAAATAGGAGATAAGGGAACCTATCTCCCCAAATATCTGAAGGTTCATACTACTAATTAATTAGCACATCAGAATGTGCAAACATTAAACTTATTGCAAAGTATCTGATAGATTTAGACAGCATTAAAAAATGTTCTCAATTCCATTCGGTAACCTAAAATGTCGGTATATAGTACCAAATGTCCAATTAAAGAGTTTAATATAAAAATATCAGCACAAAACTGTTTTTTCAATCTGTTTATTGTATGACAGCCCAAACTTCAGTTTAAGTGCTGTTTTAATTTTATTACTAGATTCCATAACCCTACAATTGATCAATTTGATACCATTTTAGGTATTTAATGAGATACTTAGAAATACTAAGGGAAAAAAATCAGTATTCAAAGGGTTAATTTTGTTGATAATAACAATAAATTATTTTATCCTCTTCTTCAGTTCAAAATCCAGCTTTGAACCCGAGGAAGGCTTTCAATTCGTGTTAACTAAATGATGGTCCTTTAACCAGTAGCAGTTTGATTACCAATGACTCGGAGGATCTCCTTGTGAATGCCTCCTTCTTGTGTATTGATATTTGCATCTCCTACTTGGCCATCTTCATAGCTAGAATACAAAACACAAAAACATAAAAACATTTAAAAGGATGTCAGTATTTAAAACAGCTTAGAAATGCCATTTGATCCTAAAACGTATAGCCCAAAAGAACCCAAAGCAAAGGATGTAGTTATTTTTCTGCTGCATTGAATAATGTGCTGTCCTTATTAAACACAGAACAGCACATTATTCTACATCCTGCCTTAATTTGGCCCTGCTTTCCATTTTAATTTGTGTAACCCCACACAAAGCATTGCCTGACTTGAAGGAAGCATTGCTGTGTCTTTGACCTTGCAAGCATTTCCCTCAGCAGTCGCTAGAAAGACTAATTCGCAGCTTCAAGGACATGTTCGTTAGGTTCTGGACTTCCTAACCCAGAATCATTTATTAAATCATTTATTTTTTTTCCTACTGTTGACACTCTCTTCACTTTCTACCATTGCTTATGTGTTGTGCCTGCCTTCTAGAGATTATTCAGCTCTCATCAGGGCTGCACTTTTCTCTCAGCACTGGTGGCTCGATTCAGTCTGACTGTATGTGACACACTCTTACTTATGTTGGTACTTTGCATAACAGTGTCAGCTCGCTGAGTTTAATTCAGCATTAGAAGTGAAGATAGAACATTAAAGGGCAGCGATTAGTAAGCTCTTCCGAAAGAAACAATTACATTTTAGATGATAACTCAGATCCTCAAATAAACTTGCTTGGGCAATAAGAATTTCCCAAGAATGAATTTTCGAACGTTCACAATCATACTCACAGGACAACAGGTGACAAATTAATTTTACTTCATGAAAATGGCGTCAAGACAGAAGCATGAGAGAAGTGGTAATTACTTGAAAGCACAATCAGAAGTGTAAGTACAGGGTCTCAAAGGTTAATACTAGCCACTCCCTTTTTCCTGAAACAGCACAGTATAGGAAAGTCAAACAGGTGGCACATGGCGATGGAACTTAACTCCTTACATAATCTATGGTTAAACACCAAGTAATAACTGCATTTGCACCAAGTCTAAACTCTCAACTAAGTAATCCAAGGTTGTCTGTCAACTTGGTTAATTCTTATCAGACAAGTTTGTTTTTTATTAGAATCTCTGGAAATTAAATTTCCTAAGAAACATGGGGAAACATTATCCTAAGAAAAAGAAGGGGACGTCTGGTGCACAGCCCATGCACTACTTTCTCAGGAGATCCAGCACTGAGGCGTCTGGTATTACAAAGATTACTTCTCTGTCTCTTTCTCTGCACTCTCATCTTCGGCCCACATTTCAATGCTGGTTTTCCATGTGACTCACTCCTCAGTCTCCTCTCTTCTCCTGATATGCAAAGTCAATTACTTCAGCCTCTTCTGGTTGTAACTGTTGCCAACATGCTGACCCCTAAAACTCTACCTTCAGTCCTTACATCGTTCCCTAACTTGCCCACAGGTGCCACAAACGAGTCTATTCAAAGTTCAACTTACTTTTGGACCCTAGGACTGTTCCTTTTTATTCTATCTACATCTCAGTTTGACATACCCATATTCAACAACTCAAAACTCCGTTTTCGGTCCGCTCTGTGACTACATCCAATTAATCACCAAATTATCTTGCTTCCATTTTCTTAATCCTTTCTACACAATGCCATTTCCCTTTGCTTAGGCCTTCACTGTCATTCATCTAAATGAGTAGCTCTCAAGTTAAAGGTAATACATTTTGAAGTTAATTAAGTTGTCCAGACTGGTATTTTTCATGACATTAGAGTAGAATAAAACGGAGGATGCTGTCCTCACGACAGAGAGAAAGCACAGTCATTTCCCTAAGTCTCGATGTCAGAAAAACTGACCCAGACTGTTACAGTAACATTTTAACCAGTATTTCTGTCTCTACCCTGATCCCCATCATCCTCAGTATAAGACCTATTTTTCCCCTTGTTCAAGTGATATAAAATTCTTCCACCCCACTTACAGACCAAAATCCAATGTCCTGGCACTACCGGCCCCTCCCTCCCCCAAACCCAAACTTTCTCTCCAGTCATGTCCTGTCATCACCCTCCCAGTCAAAGGGAAAAAGTTAGTTTTCCTCAAATACTACAGGTACATTGACACTTAAAAAGCATTTGAAGTTAATGGAAAGGAGATGAGATTCACACTCTTTCAATAACTATAATAACTTAAGATAAAAAGAGCACAGGGTAAGGGGAGAGTGGAGAGAAAAAAACGGGAGTGAGAGCAAGATTGAGAACTAGAGAGAGTGATTTAAAAGTATTAAAGAAAATGCGTATTTTCCCATTGTCTGCAAAACCCACTAAGAAGCACGAGAGTCATGGTATGAAGAACAAAACTGGCCACAGGCAGTCGGGTCAAGCACATATAATAACAAAGAAAAACAAACTATCGTTGAATTTGGGCAACTGGCAAGGCTTAGAAATGAGCTGCGGCTGCATTAAGGTATTTATTACAATAAGGCATAGAGAATACCGCATAACTGTTTATTAGTGGTGGAGACATTAGGTTGTTAATTTATCAGCAAAGTTCACTTATTTCCAGAAAGCAACAAAATCGGGGCAAACCTGCTGTGTTTTGCCATAGATAACTATAGCGTGCTCCTGTGGATGACGTGCACCCATGTTTTGGGGTCTAACTTTCAAGAAAAAAAAACTTCTAATTGTTTAATTCAAATTGTTCTTTGTTTATATCTAGGCACTTGTTTTCTGTTTTATAAAGAAATCTTAGCATTTGCTTTTTAACACACTATGATACAAACAATTTTATGTAACAATTTATTTCAAAACACAAGAACAGGGACAAGGTACAAGAAATTTCATGGCCCGGGAACAGACGCACCAATATCGATGTATAATATGTGCATCCTTATTTTTCCCTCACAAATTTGCAGCAATTGTGTAGTGTACACGGCAAAATACAGTAGAAAGCATGATTTCAATAGGAAGATGACACGTGCAATGGGTTTTCTAGTAGAATGGAAGATAAAAACACCTAGTAAGACACAAAAATTACTCATATTCCTACAAGTATAAAACGACTACCAAAATTTTAATGAAAAGTAAACCAATCAACTTAAAGAACATAAGAAAGAAAACAGGATAATAAGTGGAAATTAACTATCTGGAAATCCCTTAAGCGCACTAGGAAAATTTTATGGATAAAACTTTTTCAAAGTATTGACCACCTTTACTCTCAAACCAATAAGCATCTCTTGTGAGAGTTTTTGAGATTGGCTCAGGAAAATTTGTTTCTGTCTTTTTTTATCTGGAGCCCAGAAACTATAGCACTGTTTTTTCATCAGTAATAGACAAGAGAAATTCATTGCAGACTGAATGATATCCAGCCTTGTCCAGAATTCCTATAGCAAACATGATGCCCTAAATACACTCGTTCACAGCCCATGCACAATCTCTTCGTGAAGTTAGGATATCCAGTCTTTTGTTACCGTTTTTCTTCAAAATGTATTAAGCTCTACTGCATACGCTGTGATCATGACACCCCTGTAACATGAGCAGAATCTGTACTTTACTAGGTAAGAGTTATGGAAATAACTGTAGAACAAGACAGTCGGAGAGGTCCAAAGACAGGGTAAGCAAAATTCAGGTGGAGACAGACATCCTTTCTAACTGTGAGGCCAGGGAAGGAGCCACGGACAAGACCATGTTGAGACAGCCTTGAAAAACAGGCTAAGAGCCAACTGGAGGAGGGTCAGTCATTTGGACTGACACAGCAAAGGCAATTTTCTTTAACCAGTGGTTTACACCTGTAACTGAAGCATGTTGTAGAATGCCTTGTTTTTATTTATAAAAACAGTTTGTTGCCCAAAAACACTCTGTTGGGAAATTAGTAAGACCATAAATAGTATGATCTTGGAATTTTATGTGCATCGAGAGGTAAGCTATACGTCAAAGATTAATCCTAGTTCACTCTTAAGTGGGCAAAACACAGGTCTGAGCAATTTCCTCCACCTCTGGTTTATCGTCAATTTCTGAATATGGAACAGGTATATCACTAGTGCAAATAATGGTGATGTAGGTTGAGAATCATGAAGAAATTAGAAGCAGGAAGAACTGGTAAGTTTTCTGTGAACTCTAAGAGAAAGAATAATGTATCTGTGGAAATAGATACTGATGAGAGAAAAAGGTGAAAAGATAAACCTGGTGAATATAGTGAGCAAGGAAAAAGAAACTGAAAACCACAGTTCAAGCTTCCCATTTCTCTGACGTATAAAATTACTGCATAGGTAGAAGCTGCCTAAGGAATTTAAGTCATGGGTTCCAATTTCTGCATAGTGATTTTAAGGTATCAGTAGGCTCTTCGAGGGCAAATACTCAGCAAGCAGTTATAATGTGGACAGTCCCTTCATCCCTACTTTCATATCTGCTGCCATTTTGAAAATAGCTTTATTTTTATACCCATGTATGAGCCTTAATTGCCCTTGTACCCATGGCCCAAGGACAGTAATATAATCAAGTTTTAGGCACTGGAAATTGGCTGGGATCTGTTTATAACATCTGACCTATTACATTTGGTCTAGAGCATTTACAATTCATTAGGTTTATTCATTTTGGAATTTTCCAATAAAATTTTTTCAGACTTCTCGTTCTCCTTCCCCCAACCCTGACATCCTCTTTAAAATTTTATTTTCAATTTCTTCTCACAGACCAGTCTCTTCCCTAAAATTTCTTCCCAGTCTTTCTCTTATTCCGTGTATTTACTTGTTGGAAAGAACGTGTTTAGGATACTACATGACTTGTTTCATTCTCCCAACTCTGGAAATCACATTAGCATGGAAGTTATTTAAATTTTTAATGTAGTCACCTAATAATAGATAAAAAAGGAAACTGTATTAACATCCGAGTCATCAGCAAAAACTTTTCACGTCAGGGATTACACTGTGTGTTAAAAAATTAAAAAAGCACAGAAACTGAGTTTTTGGACGATCTTCATTCTCAGCACTTTATTCTTTTCCTAGATGCCACCCCTCACTAGGGGGTCTCAGCCCTTGGCGGACTCTGTGTTCTTATCTTTTATACAGAAAGAAAGTGATGGTTGTAATTAGAATGTACATTAATTAGAGAATGGATTCCCCCTTTGATGTGTTTTGAATTTTATCAGTTTTCCTTAATGAGTCTCTTCTCTCCTGAGGGTGAAAAGAGATGAAATCTCATTTGTGTTCATAGAGCACAAGAAAATTATTATCTTAATATAATTTTTCCTGCGTATAATATGGAAAGCAGCTGAGTATACAGAAAGCGTTTTCTTCTTTTCTTCAGATGATTTTTCCTTAATTTTTCTTGTGAAATATATCCTTCTCTCCACTTAACATGCATCCCCCCCACACACATAGATATACCTATAGATAGGTTTTATGTATAACTTTTGTAAAAGAAATAATCCCGGAAATAGTACTCTCTCTCTACTTAAATATCCAGGCTTGTTTATTTAGTGCAATGGACTTGAATTTTAGCAAGGTGCTTAAGGAGTAGACTAACTGACTTGATGGCAGGCTAAAGAAAAAACTCTCAAGTTACTTTTCTTGCAATCGGTGTAACCTAATTCTTTGTACCCTCAAAAAATCCCAAATGATAAAATAAATAAAGTAACTTTTCTATTAAAACCTCAAGGTCATTTAGTGAAATAAACCGTGAATGGAGGTTTCTTGTGGGAGGGCTGATCCTCCAACAGTGGATAACAATCAAGATTGCTAAGAAAGAAGAGGGAAAAAATATTTAATGTGCCCTTCAGTGAAGACCCGCATTAAATTAATCTCCATGATAACCTGGAAGGTACTGCATGCGCCCAGCTGTAGGAGCTTCCTGACCCCCTTCGTTTGGCCCCAGGAGGCTGACCTATAAGGAACGGAGGGTAAGCTTCACTGCCCTCTAGCTCCTGGTAGGGTATGGCCAGGGGGATTCCTAACAGGACTATTTCCAGCTTTTGTCCTTACGGCAAATGAAAGAAAAAACTCTCATGTTACTTTTCTGCCAAAACCTCAAGGTCATTTGATATAATACCTGTGATTGGAACCTCATGAACCCAGGAGCACCTAACGGCTCTGGTGCTAATAGATCCAGGTTACCACACTGGACCTTCTTTTGTCTTATAACAATCCCTCTGTAAATAATCCAACTGTAGATAACAAAAATATATTCTCATAGGTCACCTGTTTCCTGCTAGGACTTTAACTGATATAGGTAGGCATATTATTTTCATTTTACTGAAACTTGAAGAGGTTATGCAACCTGGCAAACGTCTCCTAATTACTGTACAGCCAGGACTCAAACAGTCTGATGGAAAGCAGGGCTCTTTCCATTACTCTCATTGCTGCCTCAATGTTGAGAAAAACCTCTATAGTGGATAACTATGTATCATAAGAAAGTAACACTTTTCTTTTTTTTTTTTTTTTTCTTTTTTTTATTGAACGGTAACTATGTACATTAATGCACTTCTGGGGTACAGTGTGGGGTTTTCACATGCAATCTGAAATACTTCCATCAACTGGTCAACACAGCCTTCATGTCATTTTCTCAGTTATTGCTTTAAAACATTCACATTCTACTCTTAGAAAGATTCACCTGTACCCCGAAAGTAACACTTTTCATACCGTTCAAAAGAAAAGTAGGCAGTTGTACGTTCCACTGTGAATAGTCTGTCAATAAGCCACAGATCTAACGCTGAACGCTCAGGGTGCTATGAATATACAGTTTACTGAAGCATTCTTGATGCAGTCATTTTGACATGACTCATAAAGCAAGCCAGTTCAGTTTTTCAGCTTCTTTTTAGAAAGCTAAATAAAGTATGAAACATATACACTCAACTCTCCCCTGAAATCCTTTCTGTGACAAGATCATAGAGGAGGTGAGATCAGCAAGGGAAAAGGACTGGGAGGTGAGGGGCAGGAGAGAAAATCAGACCAGTCTACTGTACCCATTAAGTAGGAATTAAAAATAATGCTTTTATATTTTAGTGTGGCTCTTAAGAGCTTTGCCAATAAAAATCCCAGGTCAACATTAACTATTTGGGCGGTGCCTGTGGCTCAAGGAGTAGGGTGCTGGCCCCATATACGGAGATGGCGGGTTCAAACCCAGCCCCGGCCAAAAAGCTGCCAAAAAAAAACCATTTAGTATCTGTACATACACACAGAGAGATGCCAGAGACAAAGAGAGCGTGCTCTTTAGTTGTAAGTTATTAGTCGTTCTTACTTAGCTCTTCTACGTTAACACACACAGCATTTAACCATCACTTTGGTTTTTACGGCTTATTGAACATAAACAAAAACATTACACTAACGTTATACTCAATTACCCATCTGCTATATTTCCGCACTTACAGTTACCAAATAAAAATGCGGTCACTACGACATCTCATTTGTAGAGAAGACAGTAACATACAAACGTGAGCATTAACACTTACACAAAAAAGAATCGTGTGCAGACATGATCGGTATTTGGGACAACCCATATCTCTCCATGTTTGTGCAGGTCAGGTGAGGTGATCACTGGAATTGGAAGATAAAGTTATTCTAAAGGAATCCTAGTTTATTCCAAGTTACTATATATCCCTTTTCTTCAAAATCTAAAGCAAAATTACATGGATAAATAAATATATAAAAAATGTATTACCATATTGCCTATTAAGAAATGTAAATAGAAACCATGAAGGCCATGAGACAACTTTATGATTTGAATAAAGGTTGGGTGTAACGACAGGGAGCAAATCACTGGGCATTATCAAAGCAGATGGTTCTGACTTGAGAATAAGCAACTCAGCACCTCTAAAACTATCAAGTGTTGAAAATTTAAGACAGTTGACAACGGCTACTGAAAACTCGTAACACAAGAAGAAAAGGTGAACTTTTTGCCAAATACAAGCTTTAAGGAAGAAAGAAAAGCATATGATCTTGGAAATCATCTCTCAAGTGTTCTATGTTCAGATGGAAGAACAAGGGCAGCGCAGAAACAGAAAGACCTAATGGGTTATCTTTGGAGTGCCTGCCTTCTAAGTTTTTCATGGTATTATACATTTAAATACCAACTGAAAGAGGAAGGCAGCACATTAATGAAAGAGGTAAGCATTACTCGATCAGAAAGATGTAATTACCATTCTGAAATATCTGCCAGGAATAAAATATATCACCATGTGATATATTCTTGCCAACTCTGCAATTTGGTTTTAACCTTTATGATCTTTATTGTACTTGCTTTCCATTTGTGCCCTTCAAGGTGATCGATAGGAATAATCTTTCACTACTCCGCCATCATCAGGCTGTAAATATACTTGTTTTCTTAAACACGGGTAAGACAGAGCAATAATACGATGAGGTCTGTAAAACTTTCAACTTACCTTCACATAAGGCTATGCATTTTAAGTTACGGCTTTGCAGAAACTGGGACTGCTGTCCTTTTTTCTGTGACTGAATTCCAAAAAAAATTAAAAATCAGAGTAAAAATGGGCACTCTAGTAAAAAAAAAATTATTCGTCATGAAAAAATAATAGTCACTACAATGTGACTCGCATCAATATCTTGGCACTCTCTTTAATATCAAGCTATTTTTGTTGTATCATTTAATTTCTGTACATAATCATTACTAAATTGCTCTCAAGATGAGTCAACTAAAAAAAAATGCTAAATTAGAGTTCAGTAATCTCACAACATAGAATTAGAACTCAAATTTATTTTTAGTGGAAGCCTGGCCTCTTTATTTTAAGATAAACAAAATTAAATATGCACAATCTTTTCAAACATTAAAATCAATTATTCCAGATGATCTAACTATCCGAAACCAACCCCTTTTGAGTTTCATTTACTCATTTAAACATTTCATGTAGAAAATCTGATTCTAGGGTGCTTTTGGTTTCAGATACTAGAAGAGTTATATGTTTCTTTTAAACTTAAAGTCATGCCGTTGAGTAATTATTATATAGAGGCAATTCAGTTATTACATTTTAGGGTTTTATTCTTTTATGACTAATGGCCACTTAAAATAACTTTGCGGACTTAAAAAGCCTGAGTATTTATTGAAGTCCTGCTGGCTAATGAGGCCACAGCTGGCTAATCAGAAGCAGTCGCTCAAGTTGCTGCTACCACACCTGTGACGAGTTGCTGCTTTTACTGCTTGAAGCTGGCTCATCCTTGGCTGATACCTTCTGCTTCTTGTTCATCCCTGAAAACATCAGCAAAATAATAATTTAGGGACAAAGCTTTCTGATGAAGCTCAAAGTGCAATCTATCTACCGTGCAAAGCTTCATTCTAGGCAAAGGTTTGATTGTATTAGACCAGAGATGGTCACAAGAGGTCCTACCCTGGACACCTGAGGTGGACAATCAGTAGGTTCCAGAGGTCCTGGGTGTGTTACAAGTAGTAATTCCAGTCTGTAATTGTTAGCATTGAAAGTAGAAATAGGAACTTCTCTTGCATAAAATAATTAGAAAATTCTTAACACTTGGTTTTGAAAGGCTTTGGAAACCTAATTTTTAAACTTACTGTTTGGTTAGGAGGAGAAACTAAAGAGTGGGAAATATGAACAACATCAGAAAAATCTATTTACATTATAACTTAACTTCATGAATTGCTAACACATAGTCATTTCTGTGTAGAACTCATTATTTCTTCTGATTAAGAAAGATTATATAAATTCATTTGTCTGTGATAGTCACGTGTCCTCTCCTACTCTGTAAATTTCCTATTTCTTACTGTAGGAGGTTTTAGAAAGACAGAAGTAAAATACATATCTGTCTCTAAATAGGTAGACTTGGATCTGCACTGTAGTAAAAAGTACCCATCTAGTGTCACATCAAAAGTTGAGAACCATGTTGCTTTGTGTTGTTATCTGCAAAGCCTGTTTTCCAGTCTGCAGAGGATGTTTATCCACACCTTGCCAGGTCCGGCCTCCTCCAGAGGGGGCAGCGGAGGGTGGTGTCTGGGTGTGGCGCAGACCTGGGATCTCAGACTCACAGTCCCCATTTGCAGAGGGCTGCTCTGCTCCCCCCACACTTTACCCGAGCGGCTCCTTACTATAGTGATTCTGATATTATTTTCAAATTCCCCTCAAGAATTTGATGAAAGCTGTGAACCCTCTCCCCAGACAAATGCACACAGATAAAATTTTATATCCACCCATAGTTTGTGCCTTCCCTCAATCCTTTTCATGAACCAACTGAAGTATTCTACACACCAGTTTGCCAAACAGAAAGCCACAGTGCTCGATGGTTTGTTATGGTTTTTCTTATCTATGCCGAGGAAGTATTAATCTATGTAAGCTGTTTCTTTAGTTTGTTAGTTTGTTCTGTATCAAGAACATTTAGAGTCTGATTTTAATGGTTTTCTCCTTTAAACTATGTTATTCCGTTTCCTATTTCTATTATATTTCCTATTATTTATTTTCGTAGCCTTATTTTACCATATTGTATTTTTAAAGATCACTGGCACAGTATTTATCAACACATATGCTATGACTTCACACTTTTTCATCAAGAGACAGAATCGAGGTCCCTGTCACCTCTGCTCCTTCATGAGAGGGACCCATTTCCAACTCTCTTTGGAAGTGCTCGAAACTTTCTTTTGTTCTTCCTAAATAAAATCTCTCTGTGTAAAAACAGAGACCAGACCTAATTCCTCCCAACTCTCAGATAAGGAAGAGCTCATATCTGTTTTGATGAGTAAGCAGTATACCTGGGAAGTAACACCACATGACTTCAGAAGCTGGGCCACAAAAAGCCATACCAAGCCCACCCGATGCTCTTAGCACACTCTGGAGAAACTCAGGTAAGAAGTCCAGCTACCCCAGGACTTTGGACCACACTGGGCAGGCCAGAGGCTGGACTCTGGGGTAACAGTTCCAGCTTGTTTCTGCCAAGGCGCAGAACCTGTGAGTCAGCCTAGCCCATTCACTGCCTGAGCACCACTCAGTGGATACTCTGAGACGCAGAAGCAGAAGAATCACCCGGCCAGGCTGAACTCAATTCCTGACCCAAAGAATCTACAAACATAATGAAGTTGTTGTTCTACCCTAAGTTTAGGTGGTTTGTTACACAGCAGTAGTTACTTGAATAATTATCTTAATTGTCTTTTAATTTTTCATTATATATTTTTTTATTCTAGTTTTCCTTTTTTGTTACCTACAAGCAAACTTCTAATTTTTATGCTGATGATTATTATTATTTTTATTGTTTGGGATTCATTGAGGGTACAAAGAATTAGGTGATACTGATTGCGTTTGTTAGATAAAGTCCCTCTTATTTTATTCTAATTTTTAAAAGTAGAACCCTCTAATTTGTAAGTCTTCTTTCTGTCAGTACTTTATTGTACTGCAGAAAACACATCACTGCTGCTGTTTTCATTTAGTATTTCTAACTATCAATCTAGTTTTAAGTGTTTTATGCTCCTATCACAGAAAAACAATTTGCTGTGGCTGAAAGATCATGAACTTTGGTAAACATATTAGACAAGAAGGTCTCGTTAGTGCTCAGCTAGATATTAGATTTCTTTATTCCTTTTGAAACATGGGATATTAAGACTTATCACCCAGGCACTACACGAACGACATCCCCTACCTCCTAAAGTTGTGTAATGTGTCTGTATATTCATATACACACACAGGAGCACACAAGCCAGATCAACTACACTTGAAGATATAGGAATAAAGAAGCACCAAGTGTGGCCAGCCATGGTGGATCACGCTTGTATTCCTAGCACTCTGGAAGGCTGAGGTAGGTGGACCACCTGAGCTCAGGAGTTTAAGACCAGCCTGAGCAAAAGTGAGACCCTATCTCTACTAAAAATGGTGTGTGTGTGGGGAGACTAGCCAGGCATCATGGCGGGAGACTAGCCAGGCATCATGGCAGATGCCTATAGTCACAGCTACTTGGGAGGCTGAGACAAGAGGATTGCTTGAGCCCTAGAGTTGGAGGTTGCTATGAACTATGATGCCACAAGAATCTACCCAGGGCAACAGAAGGAGACTCTGTCTGGGGGCCTGGGGGGGCACTAAGTGTGAAAGAAAATACACTGAACACTAAGGTAGTACAGGAGAAAAAATTAATTTCATTTGCCGATTTAAACATTCTGTGTAGTTTGAATGGCTTTACAAGGAGCATAATTATATTTAGAGAGAATAAGTTAACTGCTATATAAATCACATTTATCACTATGAAATATTCCAAATTTAAAAGGGGCAAAGAAGAGAAATGATCACAAATTCCGCCACTCAAGGGCAACTGCGGTTAACAACCTGATGATCATTCTTTCCACCTTTTGGACTCACTGGGCTTTCCCTCAGCATATTCTCTCAATTTAGTACAAAATATTGTTTTCCTGTGATCTCAGCAAAATATTAAAAAGTCAATAAGGATGAGTTTGAGTGTTTTTTAACTTCTAACTTTTTCATAATGTTCAAAATTTCTTTATGAATGGTATAATAATTCAGAGATAAGGAGTCCCCTGATATAGAATTACACTGACAATTTCTAAGTGTGCTTCTTGTGTTGCACATACTGGATTCTCAATGTTTATTTGTGGAAGGAACAACTGTACAAATATTTAAATCGAATAATTTTTTTTTTAATTGACAAAGCATACATTCCATCAGGGAAGCATTATAAATTCATTCTGACATCTGAGCTTTGTTTTAGCTTCTGGAATTTAGCATAAGAATGTAATACACAAATATCTAACAAGCTGCAGTCACTCAATAGAAAATTTCATAAAGGACAATTAATAAAATAAAAACCTAATGTATTTCAAGTTAGAAATAAAATACGAGAGTACCTGAGTAACCAAATGATATGCTTGACATTGGACTAAGATAGATTCCACTTCCATACATTGCACCGTGGAGCTAAAATGGGAAGAGGTGGGGGAGAGAGAGGTCAGCCCACGTTTTAAATGCTAATATCGGACAAAAGAAGGCAATCAATTTCATGTTGGAACGTTAAGTCTTAGAAAAATGATACAGCTCCTGTTCCAGGGTCCCATCTGAAAATAGTAGTAATATCCTTGTGCTTAAGGACCCTTGCTAAATGTTTTCCACCCTGCTAGTGATAAAGAGAGTCATGAAGCACAATAAAGCACTCGGGTAGGCTTTTACGTTAATGAATCTAAAATTCTACAGACAAAATCGAGGTTGAAGTACACAGGAAGGCATTTTGAATAAGACTTACCCACTATTATAGTATAAAAACAAAGTGACCTACTCAGATTTTCATCATAAAGGGTGGCCATAGTTGTCTATTTTTTTGCACAAGACTTTTATGGCCACCCTGTATAGTACTGTTAACCTGTGTTTAGCTTCTTATAAATCATTCAAGTTACAGGAGTTTTATCAATGGAAACTCCTTAACGGGTCTAAGAAATAACTACTCAGAACAATTAAAATTCTTTCTCATTACCTCTTTGTTCTAGAGCCTTCACACCCTATTAGTGTGAACTAAATACTAATCCAATAAATGTGAATTTATGGACATTTATATTTAATTGAATCACCTCAAGTGTTATCACTAGCTCAGGTGGTTGGGTCAGGCAACTCCTTTCCTGATGTCCTTATGTTGTCAAATGACAAATTTATCTGTATGCAAATGAAGTAGAATGTGCATAAGGATGAGGACAATACCCACATGCCCCGCCAATTCCAAGCGCAGGTGTCAGATGGCTCTTTAGTATCCAGTGTCCACTTTGCTTATTTTTACACTTTGTTATCTGCAAATACCCGCACTGAAGTCCAGTACTTAAGAAATGTATGTTGGATTGATGTACAGAACACTGGTATGGTTTTATTTTGTGCACAATAATTTTTTCTACTTCAGTTGAAAGTGTGACTTTTACTTTTTTCTTTTAGATAACTCAACTTTTTCTTTTCATTGCATATAGATCTATTTTCAGTTCTTCTTTGAAAACATACTTATGCTTATTAGAAGTTCCATACAATATTTTAAAGCTCATGTGTTTCCTTTTTCTGCAAGGGAAAGCATAGTCCCAGGATTGCTCACTGACTCTCAGTGCTGAGGGATGATGAGGTCTTATTATAGCATTCAGAAAAGGTACCTGCAATCGTGTATTAGAAGCAACAACCAGACCGTTTCTCAGGATGGAGTGCCAGTTTTCAATGTGAGAGCCACTGTAAAAACAGAGGAGAAGGAGAGAGCAAAACCAGAAAATCAATGATTGTGTAAAGTGGTCTCCGTAAGACGTTTTGAGTTTCCAAGTCAGGCATTACGTAATTGAGACTATTGAACATAAATGACCAACTACTAACAAAGAATGTTTTCTTCCCCGCACGTTGCTGGAAAATTGGTGGAGCATATCCCCATTAACGAGAAGCGTGATTAACTCACTGAAATGCGAAGGTGCTTCCAAAGAGTTTTTTAGCAGCTCTAAAATTGGATTCTTTGGCTGGTGGACTGCTGAGAAGAAGGAACTGATGCGGAGTGTGCATGAACTTCAATTGCTGCCATTTAAAATAATGACAAACAAAAACACGTCAAACTTAACATAGAAACAGGCTGGGGACAATTTCAAATTTTATTGGCTTAAGAATTATGCAGTTTCAGATTACAGTAATTTTATGCCATTCATCCTAATAGGGTAATTCATATATTTTTTAAAAATCCTGCATAAATCGTAAGTCACATGGAATTACAAATATAAAAGATAATTCTTTAAGCTGTTGGGGAAAGAATAGGAAACGGACAATCCAAAGTCATTTATCTTTAATACATACTGTATTTTGGAATACAGTATGTAATCATGTTCAAGCAGATCTGTCTTCTTAATAACATCTATTTTTTAAGACTATTAAATTGAATTCCCAAAGTATACACTAGCAAGTCAACTGGGGAAATATTCTGGAGTTTGCGAAGCATAAAAGTTTAAAATTTTAAATCTGCAAAAACTATTATTATGCATTATTTGCATGTACTATTATAACACTGGAAATGGCCTACATTCAAATAGTTTGTCACAGAAAGAGATTAAAGCAGAACTATTTGGATTACTAGCTTGACAAATTTTTCTAATTGTTTCCCTTTTATGTAGGAATACAGTTACACAAAAATGTAGTACATAAAAATCTTCACACTTATAGATTCACAAATGAAGAAAAAAGGATTTTCGGTATGACTCTAAGGTGACACTCAGAAGTAAAATCAGAGTCTATTAGCTTTTTTAAATAAAAAAAATTAAAGTTTTTAAGGATGATAATAAATAAGGCATCTGGAGGCAACGTCTTCTCAGATTAAAACAATGAAAAAGTGATAATGCAAAACTGACAATGATTAAAAAGTATATTCATTTTCTTCTGGTCCATCTCTAGATAATATTTTCTATTACTTGTAGAATGTCTAAATGATCTCATATTGCTGTTCTTATATATTTAAAAGGTCAGGCCAGCAGCTGGCTATGAATTTGATATCTTAGAAAGGTCTGGAGCTGCTGCACAAATGG